ATACAAAACGACATATGATGGTCAAACATCACAGATTGGATCTGATAAAACGGGAACCGTTACCACTGTAGATATTGCAGAGGGGGATGGATACTTTTATATTCTTGATTCAACGACGTCCGAAGTTAGCAAATATAATAAAACAACGGATATGGTAGTTAGCACGATATCACTTTCACCTGGAGCAGAGCGAATTATTGTTGTTGCTGGTAAGTGACAAATAATGCAGAGTGTCTAGAAAATGCAGTAAGTGCATGCATGTAAGATAATTTTACTGAAAAGTTCAACGTTTTAAGATTCAAACATCAATTAGTTAGATTCAATTTTTAAAAAAAACGACCATTCAAGAAATTACGCCACATCACGTGCTACGATCCTTTTCCTAATATGAAGGACCTTAAGTTGCGAGCTGGCCACAGCAACAGGTCTGCTCTGGAAATTTTTGATGGTTTGCATTTTTTATACCTTTGATCATTTTCTTCGATGCAGGTGTGTTAGCATACGATGACCAATTCAATGCCAAGCTTTGTCACTGTTTTTACACAAACGTAATTGTAACAATCTTTATCTTTCTAGACCAGGACAATTGTGCGATTAACAACACCTGCCCAGCAAACTCAACATGCACAACTATTCCTGGTACTATCGCATCTTTATGTCACACTGGATTTACTGGAAACCAAACATACTGTCAAGGTAAACAATTCCTTTGGAATCTATATATATATATATATATATATATATATATATATATATATATATATATATATATATATATATATATATATATATTTACCGTATATGAGCTGTTCTGCAATCTGATTGGTTGAATTAATCGCCGTATATCAGCTCATTGACGGCGAGTAGCGAAAAACAAGATGGCGGTCGAAAAACTACATCAGTTTTGCGAAGCAGGAAAAAGGAAAATATCCGCTTTGAGAAAGATAATAGTACAAGGAAAAACTCTCAAAAAATTTTGACATATCAGCAAAATACATTTATTACATAGAAATTAGTATCAATACAAATTTTTTAAAGAATTAATACCGAAACAGCAGCGAAAAAAACTTGTTCATTGACATTGAGAATATAAATTGTTCAGAAAAGTTTGCAACGAAAGACAAATGAATTTGCAGTCAACAACAATCACTTATACTATACTACCAAACATCTGTACAATATATCTGTATTATATATATATATATATATATATATATACAGACGGTACCGTTTCGGCCTTTTGGGCCTCATCAGTGTAGTGCTGATGAGCAGGATGAAAGTAACCACTATAAATAGTTACCTTTGATGTCTCACGAATGTGGGACATCAAACCATTGCCAGAGTGCTCAAACTGCAAGCAGTGAGCATGCGCACAATGCGAAAGCAGCAATGGCTCATCCTGTAGAGTGCTCAATATGACACAAAGGCCATAGAGCAATATCTAGCTACAGACGGTACCGTTTCGGCCTTCTGGGCCTCATCAGTGTAGTGCTGATGAGCAGGATGAAAGTAACCACTATAAATAGTTACCTTTGATGTCTCGCGAATGTGGGACATCAAACCATTGCCAGAGTGCTCAAACTGCAAGCAGTGAGCATGCGCATATATATATATATATATATATATATATATATATATATATATATATATATATATATATATATATATATATATATATATATATATATATATATATATATAGCAACCAACAACCAAGCTACAGAGAGAAGATCTAGACGCAGGAATATTACATGGTATAATCCCCCATTTAGCCCCACGAAGGGCAATTGCCATTTCTAGATACTATGGTTACA